GTTGTTGTTAAGTGCCATTGAGTCAGTTCTGACCCATAGCAACCCTGTATAGGGTTTCCGAGGAGCAGCTGGTGAGTTTGAACTGCTGACCTTGCAGTTCAAATGGCTTTGTAGTCTGGCACATTAACCCACAGCACCACACCAGGACTCCTAGGGTGTACAGGACTCTAATACTGGGATTGGTTAGTTTTGCCATCCTGCTAGGTTTAAAAGGAGCCATCTTAGAGGCAGGAAAAGACCATCCCAGTGCCATCAAGAAAGAAGAACTACATAGGTGGGAAGACTTATCATTGTGAAAATGTCAACACTGCTCAAGGCAATCTATAGATATAATGCAATCCCCATCCAGATTCCAACATCATTATTTAAAGACATGGAAAAATGAATCACTAAATTTATATGGAAAGGAAAGAGCCCTCAGATAAGCAAAGCATTACGAAAACAAAAGAACAAAGTAGGAGTCGTATTACTTCCCAATCTCAAAACCTATAACATAACCACAGTAGTGGTTAATTAAAGCCTGATACTGGTACAATGAAAGGCACCTAAATTAATGTAATAGAATCCAGAAGTAAATTAATCCACCTACAGTCAACAAAAGGCCAAAATACACTAAATAGGTAAGAGATATCCTCTTCAACAAATGGTGCTAGCAAAACTGGAAAACCATTTGAGAAGAATGAAACAAGACACATATCTCACACTATACACAAAAATGAACTCAACATGGATTAAAGACCTCTATGTAAAATGCAGAGCTATAAAGACCATCAATGAAAAACTAAGGACAAACTTAAAGGATCTGATACGTGGCATAAATATACTGTCAAACATGACTGAAAACACACAAACAGCAGAAAATGAAATAGATGACTGGGCCCTCCTAAAAATTAGATACTTATTCAAACGATTTCACCAAAAGAGTAAATAAAGAACCCACAGACGGGGATAAGTTTGGGGGTAATGCCATATCAGACAAGGGGCTATTCCCTAAAATTTATGGAATGCTTCAACATCTCAACAAGAAGAAGACAAATAATCGAATTTGAAAATGGGCAAAAGACATGAACAGACATTTCAGTAAAGAAGATATGCAAGTGGTCAACAAGCATATAAAGACCAGCTCACAATCATTAGTCATTAGAGAAGCAAATCATAACAACAATGAGATATCATCTTACTCCAACATTGATAATAAAGTTCAAAAAAATGGCAGACAACTATTGCTGGCAAGGGTGTGGAGAGACTAGGACCCTCCTACACTGTTGGAGGAATGGAAAAATGATATGACCACTGTAGAATATGGTATAGCATTTCTCAAAAAGTTGGGAACAGAAATACCATAAGCCCAATTATCCCTCTTCGTGGTATATATCCTCAAGAAATGAGAGCCATGACACAGATAAATATATGCACACTCCTGTTTATTATAGCATTACTGACAATAGCCAAAAGATGGAGCAGCCTAAATGTCCAGCAACAAAAGAATGGTTACATTCACTTTGGTACATACACATCATGGAATACTATGCAATGTTGAAGAATAATGATGACTCTGTGAAACACTTCATAATATAGATAAACCTAGAGGACATTCTGTTGAGTGAAATTACCAATTACAAAAGGATAAATACTGTATGAGACCACTGCTGTGAAAAGTTAAGAAAAGGTTTTCTTATTAAAAGAAACATCCTATGATATTTACTGAGTGGAAAGAAATGATAATTATTCACTGCATAGAGGGTAGACATGTGTCAACTTAAGTGAGGGGGAAGACAACATACAAGAAGGAGGTTGGCACAGAAAACGGTAGTAAAGACACAGGGAAGAGTGCAAGAGATAAAGAAATGGCCAATATTTGAGCATTTTAAGAGCAAGCACATGATCAAAGGTCAGTGCTATTGAAGCAAGAAGTCCAATGTGCTTTGAAGGCAGTGACAAAGAGCAAGGCTCTGGGAATTGATGGAATACAAATTTAAATCTTTCAACAAACTGATGCAGCACTGAAGACACTCATTCATCTATACCAAGAAATTTGGAAGGCACCTAGCTGGCCAACTGATTGGAAGAGATCCATATCTGGTTCACAAAAGTCTGCTCATAAAATGAGCTTTATCCTTTCCCCTGAGCCATGAGAGCTGCTGGTGACATTATGAGGTTGGACCCTTTTCCTTGATATGTCATTTCTAATTATACATGAGTCAAAGGAAGGGATAGAAGCTACAGATCACCAATGTTCAAGAAACACTAGGAAGACAAAATGGTGTAAAGGAGAAACAGTGAAAAGAGAGAGATGCAGCATCTTCAATCCTCAGGGACGCTGCCTTCCACTCACCCTACACTGTCCAGGTTAAACAAGCTGTTTGCTGCTCAGTGTGCAGCATTATTCATTTAGTCATTGGATCATTGCATAATTATTAGATGATCCCTGAGGTTGTGCCAGGCCCTGATACAGGCGCTTGGGATTTATCAACAAACAGAACAGATAAAACATTCTTACCCTAATAGAACTTATGGTATTATAGTACTGAATTATTACTAGTATTTCTGTTAAGCAATTTAAAATTTTTAATCTTTTTTTATAAATAGTTTTTTTGTTTTTGCTGTCTCTCTTCTGTTTTCATCTTTTATCTTACATAATTGCCTGCATGGAAGAATGGGAGTAGAATTTTCAGTTTGTTGTTGTTAATTTTATTCCAAATGCCAAAGTTTTATTATATGAGTATTTGGGGAGAAAAGATCCAAATTCTTAAAGATGGGCTCTTTGAACCTTGAGAACATTATGCTGTGTGAAATAAGTCCATCAGAAAAGAAACAAATATCATATGATTCCTTGTACATGAAATACCAAGAATCAGCAAATGTTCAGAGACCATAATGTATTAGGGGGAAAGATTGAAAGCTCCAGAAACCCTGTGCAGATTTGCTATGAGCTAGAACCTGCTCCATGGCAGTGAATTTGGTTTTTGGCAAAGTGCTGGGTGGGGGAAAGAGGGAGTCACTGCTTAGGAAGCAGGAAGTTTCTGTTATGATAGGAAATTTGGCAAGGATTATGAATGATGATTGCACAACCTGATTGTATCATTGATAACACTAAATTGTATACCTAAAAAATGGCAGATGCTGTGTTATCTACAGGTAATCCCCAATTTCTGGCAGGCTTCCGTTCTGACAACTCCAATCTAAATTGATTCTGACTTAAGTCGAATATCTCTTTTCTTTTAGTTTTCCTTATTATTGCCTTTTATTTTCAGTGTCTTTATAAGTCCAATCTTTGTCTTTTTAATCATATAAAAATACACAGATCTTAAGAAATCACTGGTGATGAAGAATTGGATGGCATGGCATTCTGTCAGTTATGGTAATAACTCTACTTATAGAAAGTGCTGGATCCTTTGGGTTATCCCAGATCATGGGGGTGCCATTTCTAGTTAGAAAATTAGTGGGAGTCATCTCTATGATTGTTTTATTTTTTCCTATATATTTTGTAGTAGTAGCTCTCTGCTTCCCAAAGCTGCATATGCAAAGTGATCAGCACTTAGGTCCACGTTTTCAAGTTACTGAAACCCCTGACTTCGTTTAGAAAATAATTCAGCTATTCTTTTTGACTGTAAAATATTTTGACAGCATCTCTCTTTCCTTTTCCTCGATATTTCCTTCTCATTATATACACATTGTGTAAATCAAATCTGTGTTTGAAACAATGAAATGAGCTCTTGCAACATTCAAGTACTCACAGTAGTTTCCCCATTGTTGCTCTGTCACGTTTTCAGAAAGTCAGCCTGCTTTCATCTGAAATTATCAGTAAACTCCTAGAAATCCTCTTCTGGATTTGGTCTTCTATCCAAATCATCAACAGCTTCTTCTTCAGCTTGTGGATTGGTTCTTGCCTCTTCTTGGTTAAAATTGTCAATTTTATGCCTTTAACTGCCTCTAAAATATTTTTCTTATCCTTTAACCATGGCCAAATATGACTGTCCTTTTCACATGGTATTTCACCAGCTTTCCTTCAATTGTCATTATAGTTGCTGTTGTTATTGTTAGGTACCTTCAAATGGGTTCCAACTCATAGTGACTCTGTGAATCTTTATAGAAGCAGAAAGCCTTATCTTTCTTCCATGGAACAACTGGTGGATTCAAATTGCTGATCTTGTGTCTAACACATAAACCAAATAATTTCCATAGCTACATCCATATCTATAGCCTTCCTGGCCTTTTTGGATTAGAACTTTCAGTGACCTGATTTCTTTTGGTAAACATATTATTGGAGAGATAAGCAGTGTAGTGAGAGAAATTTGAACAATTCAGCTTCAAATTAACAACTCATTTTTCCGATGGTACAAGATGCTGATTAAGATTACAGGATGGACCTGGTCTACAGTAAAGATGGTCTCAGTGGCTTAATAATGAAGTTGCGATTGTAACAGCTGTCAGGAACACAGTTCAATTGTTGAGTGTCGTCAGAGTTAAACATTCCGAACTTTCTGTCTGTTAAGAGTTCTGATGCCAATTTCATTGTAGACCAAACCAGAGCCTACTATACAATCATAAAATTGAACATCTTCAAGTGAACATTTGTGAGTGATCATTTCAGAAAAGCATGTGCTGCAACACTGTATGTGGTATTATTACTAATGATTGTTGTTGCTAAGTGCCATCGAGTCTGTTCCGTCCCATAGCAACCCTGTATAGGGTTTCCAAGGAGTGGCTGGGAGCGTGAACAGCTGACCTTGCAGTTAAAACCAACTTTGCAGTCCAGCACATTAACACACAGTGCCACATAAAGACTCCATTACTAATGATAATGTTAAAAAAAAAAGATGGTTATAAGTAGGGTTCATTGTAATTCAAGTATGTCGCAAGTTGGGGATTGCCTGTATATTTTTACAACGGCAATAATAAAGATGGGCTCATTGCTTTCTATATGGTTTGTTATTATTGTTGTTGTTTTCTTATATGGCAGTCAAAAGGGAAAAACAAAGGTGCTGTGTATTACTTACCAATTCTGTAAATAAGAACTTTGCTGCCGGTGGGATCCCTGGATCTCAAGACTCCAAGGTAGCCTGCCTTCAGAAGGCCAAGGATACTTCTAGGGTGTAGGTCTGCACTTATTTCTGGACATTCTTCTCTCCACTTATAATAGTTTTTTAGTAACTGGAAAAAAAAAAGTAAAATGAGATTTCTCTAGAGATGAGTTGTAGCATACATAAATAGTAAACACTATGTAAAACTGGTAGGAAAGTCTGGTGTTACATATAAACCTCGTCATTTGAGGACTTTGTACTGAGTTATCTTTCTTCCTGTGAAAATTAGAATTTCCCTTCATTAAGGATATAATAAAGTGATAGACATTAATCTCAAATTGAAAGTTGAGTTATTTTTCTTTGCCACATGTGGTAGAGCCATCTCCAAAGATGGCTACCAACAATACCTCCCCTCCTGTTATACACATGCCATTCCTCCCATCAAGAGTTGGAGTCCATTTTCTTTTCCCTTGAAACTGGGCTGGCTCTGTGCTTTGATTTGACCACCTGAATATGGTAGAAGTAACACTGTGCCAGTTTCAAGACTAGCCATTAAAAGATGCACTGCCTTCTGTTTTTGCTCCTCATGGGATTCAAATAATGTGTTACAGTACTGTTGTTGTGGTCAAGTGCTGTCGAGTCGATTCTGACCCATAGTGACCCTGTATAGTGTTTCCAAGGAGCAGCTGGTAAGCTTGAACTGCCGACCTTGCAGTTCAAACAGTTTGCAGTCTGGTACATTAACCCACAGCGCCACACCAGTACTCCAGTACTAGATGATAGCAATTCATTCATATAGCAAGGAATCTTGGTCTTCTTGGATAGACTGGCTTCTCTCAAATTCTCAGCTGACCACGTGGAGCAGAGATGAAACATCCCTGTTGAATTACATCATTTGTTTGTTTTAAGAATAGGTGTGTTTTAAGATACTAAGTTTCAGGGTAATTTCTTTCTCATGATAGATAACTGAACCACCACCATTAATCTTTTCTGAAATAAAAGAAAATAGAATTCAGAAGATGAGTAAACCCTTAATGTCACTAAACAATTTGTGTAGAAATTGTCAAATGGGAATATAATTTTCTGAATAAACTTTCACCAAAAACACAATAAAATATTATTTTGCTTTTTTTTTTTTTTTTAAAGGTGAATAAACCCAGCAAAATTTTTAGCATCTACAATATTCCTGATATTGTTTTAGGTATTTGAGTTACAGTACTGAAGAGACAGAATATGTGCCTTCACTGGGGCTGACCTACTGATTCTAACTGGATCACCCAGGCCATTCTGTCCCAGTCTGCTTCTGCAAAAAACCCTGACTCTGTCTTTTGTTATCGGTGTGATCTTGGATATTTAACTCCTTTGAGTCTTGTTTCCTCAAATATAGAATGGGAATGCTAATACTCGTTTGGAGAGTTATATATAAAGCATAATGGGCATAATGAGTAATTGTTGTTAAATGCCATCATCAAGTCGGTTCTGACTCACCAAGGAGTGGCTAATGAGCCTGGACCACTGACCTTGCAGTTCAAACCAACCTTGCAGTCCAGCGCCACACCAGTAATAGCACTGCTATTAATATAAGGGAAATTTATTTGGATCATTTGTTTAGGTTTATATTAAAAATAACTAAGATCTTTTCATTTTTATTTTCAATCCTATAAAAAAGAACTAAATCAAAGATAAAAGAAACATCTCTATATCACCTTCTAACAGAAAAACAACCAAAATTGACTTTAACTATCAGAAAAATAAACAAAAATTTATAGTGGTATACATTCAGAAAGGTTCAAGAACAATACATCTGGCTATTAGATCTTGGAAAAATATGATTTAAAAATATACTGCTTTTCTCAAAAGAACCACCAAAAATCATTAGTCAACATATGCAAATAATACAAACATTGTCAGTGTATTATGATGTTGTTGTTAAGTACCGTCGAGTCAGTTCCTACACATAGCTATCCTGTACAGGATTTCTGAGGCTATAAATCTTTGCGGGAGTGGAAAACCTCATCTGTTTCTTGTGGAGCAGCTGATGGACTCAAACAGCCAATTTGTGGCTCGCAGTCCAGTACTTAGCCTACAGAACTATGGCACTCTTGTCAGTGTATTATTTGTTATTGTTAAGTGCTGTCGAGTCTGTTCCAACCCATAGCGACCCTGTATAGGGTTTCTGAGAAGCTGCTGGTGAGCTTGAACAGCCAACTTTGTGGTTCAAACGGACATTGAAATCCAGCATATTAACCTACAGCATCACCCAGGACTGCCAGTATATTCTGGTGGTGGTGGTTCTGTGCCGAGGAGTCGGTTCCGATATATTATAGAGAATATTAAAAACAACTTTATACATTTAAAACGTATTATATTTTAACTTTCCTTCTTATAATTTTCAGCATTCCAATTTTTTTGAAAATGACAAAGCATTTGTTTCATGCTTGAAAACCTCTGTTAACAATGTAGAACTGAAGTTCAAATGTAAGGACAGGGCAGGTTTTATATTTAAGAGTTACTGGCATAAACTTGATAACTAACCACAAAATGGATAATGGTCTGGATGAGAAACCCTTACAAAAGAAATGAGTTGTAGGTAAAATTCTGAGCCTTGGGAAATGTCACTTACTGGGAGAAATGGAGAGCTGGTGGCACTGTGACATGAAGCAAGCCATCTGTGCTGATCTGCTCCTCCCTTTCTCTTTCTTATTTTGTACCCATCTTTCTCTTTCTTCCTGTCTTTCTCTCACTTCTGCACTTAATAAACTTTTCTTTAACTGGTTAAATAAACAGCGTGTTGTTAAGAGTTAAATGCAACAGTGAGGTAAGAAAGAAAAAAGTCCGTAAATCTGCCAACAAAGAAATAATTGGTGACCTAAATAACAGTTTCCAAAAGCAGTAAGAACAAAAGACACATTGTAGATTCTGATATAGACATTCTATTCTATAAAATGAATGTTTGCTCCCTCGCCCTGGCTTAGGGAAGATATGGATATGTACTAACCACATATTACGATGCACATTACTTTTCTGATAGATCCCTCAGACACAAACACAATCCTTTAAATTATGATTGAAGAAAACACTGAAGATAGTATACTGGCGCCTGTATCTTAGTGTGGCACAGGCAGGATAATGCTCTGGACCACAAGGTCAGTTTGAGTTACAAGCTCAGCAGTTCAAACCCACCAGCCACTCCTCAGAAACCCTATACCAGGTGACTGAGTTGGAATCAACTCAAAGTCACCTAACAACAACAACAATAGAAATAATGGTTTTCTTTTTCCATAGACTGTAAAAGGCTGTATCTTCATTTAAAGGAATCCTTTACATCAGGGATGGGGAATGTCCAGGCCGTGGGCCTTATGTTGTTGTTAAGTGCCATCTAGTCATTCCAACTCATAGCGACCCTGTATAGAGTTTCTGAGAAGTGGCTGGTGAATTTGAACCGCCGACCTTGTGGATCAAATCAACTTTGGAGTCCAGTGCATTAGCCCACAGTGCCAGACCAGGCCTCGGCGGCCCATATAAGCTCTACAAAATCATTGGGTAAGGCCTTGTCAAGGCAATTGCAGCTCCAGTCATGACATTGTTGTTGTTGTTAAGTGCCCTCAAGTCGGTTCCGACCCATAGCGACACTGTATAGGTTTTCTAAGGAGCAGTTGGTGAGTTTGAATCGCCTACCCTGCAGCTCAAACTGACCTTGTGACCTACTGCTTATCCTACAGTGCCATACCAAGACTCCTGCCATCACATCGCTGTTGTTGCTAAGTGCCTTCAAGTCAGTTCCCAATCATATTAGGGGTGAGTTAATTAAATGTTAACTTAATTAACATTTAATTGCATTAGGCAAATCTACTGCACAAGACCTTTTTAAAGTGTTGAAGAGCAAACATGCCAGTTTGAGGACTAAGGTGCGCCTGACCCTAGCCGTGCATTTTCAATAACCTCATATGCATGAGAAAGCTGGACAGTGAATAAGGAAGATAGTAGAAGAATTGATACCTTTGAGTTATGGTGTTGGCAGAGAATATTGAAAGTACCATGGGCTACCAAACACCGATCTGTGTTAGAAGAAGTACAGCCAGAGTGCTCCTTGGAGGCCAGGATGGCCAAACTTCATCTCTCATACTTCTGACATATTGTCATGAGGGACCAGTCATTGGAGAGGGATATCATGTTTGGTAAGGTGGAGGGTCAGAGAAAAAGAGGAAGACTCCCAGCGAGATGGATTGGCAAAATGGCAGCATCGATGGGCTCAAGCCTGGCAACAATTGTGAGGTTAGCGCAGGACCGGGTAGTGTTTCCTTCTGTTTTACAGAGTTGCTATGAGTCGGTACAGACTTGATAGTACCTAACAACAATTTATATGTTTGACCAAATATAGCAGGCAAATTTTTAAGTAGATAATTTTGTGTGGTCTGCGAATGATGTTATAAATTTTGGCAGAGAGAAGGTTCCCCTTCCTGCTTTAGGTAAAGTGCTGGTTACCCATCTTTCCTTGTAATGGGCACAAATATAAATCTCTTCCAATTGGCTGACCAGGTAACTGACTTTCAAATTTCTTGGCATGAGTAAGTGCTTCTAGTATTGTATCCTTTTGGAGAAACATCTCAATTGGTTTTTCATCAATTCCCAGAGCCTTGTGTTTACATCAATGCCTTCTCTGTAGCCTGTTGTTGTTAAGTGCCATCGAATCAATTACAACTCATATTGATGCTGTATAGGGTTTCTGAGGAGCTACTGGTGAGCTTCAACCGCCAACTTATGGTTCAAATCCAACTTGCAGTCCTGCATATTAACCTGCAGTGCCACACTAGGATTTAAATACCAGTATTTCTTGATCATATGCTATCTCTTGAAATGGTTAAATGTTGATCAATTATTTTTGATACAGTGACTCCTTTCATTGTCTTTGGATGCTTCCTGTGTCTTTAAATATTTTGCCTACATAATCTTTTAATATTGCAACTCAAGGCTTGATTTTTTTTTTTCTCCTTCAGTTCTTTCAGCTTGAAAACTGGTAAGTATGTTTTTCCCTTTTGGTTTCTAAAGGTCTTTGAACATTTCATTATATTTTACTTTGTCTTTTTGACCTTCCATTTGAAATTTTCTGTTCATCTCTTGTACTTCACTATTTTTCCCAAGCTTTAGCTACTCTAAGTTGAAGAACAAGTTTCAGAGTCTCTTCTGACATACATTTTGATCCTTTCTGTATCTTGTCTTTCTTCATGAATGATGCCCTTGATGTCATCTGGTCTTCAGTCACTAGTGCTCAATACAGTCTTAAGATATATCCTTGAGATCATCTCTAAATTCAGGTAGGGTATATTGAAGGTCATACTTTGACTCTTGGGAACTTTTTAAAATTGTCGTCAGCTTCAATTTGAACTTGCATAAGAGCAATTGATGGTCTGGTCTGCAGTTTCATACACTTTCAAAAAAAAAAAAAGCCTTCTTTGAGTTGCTTTTAGAGGTTAACTATACCATTTCTCTTCCTCCTCACAACTATTTGAGACAAGGATAAGGAAACTAAAAATTACACATGTTACTTTGCAGTTGTTATTCATGGTGGGTTCTTAAACCACATCTGACAATTTAGGTCAATGAGGTGACTCAAAGTGAGTCCCTTATACTTTGTGATATTATCCCTCCGAGAAGGGGCTGCTGGAGATTGACTTCAGTCATGTGACAAATTAAGCAATTGTGTCTGTGCAATGATACCCCAATAAAAACTCGGAACACTGAAGCTCAAGTGCCCTTCCTTGGTTGACTATACTCTGTGTGTATTGTCGTACATCATAGCAGGTAAGAGGTAATACCATCCATGAATACACAGGGAAAAGATAACTGGAAATTCCACATTTGGACCCCTCCCAGAATTTGTCTTATGTCTCTCTTGTGTCTGGTTCTGATTTGTGTCCTTTCTCTGTGATGAGACTTATCAATGAGTACAGTAGCTTTCAGTGGGTTCTGGGAGTTTTTCTAGCTAATTCTCAAAACTGAGAGTGGGTTTGGGGAAATCCCTAAATTTGCAGTTGGTGTCAAAGATTTGGCAATCTGGAGGACTATGCCCTGAACCTTAAAGTTTGGCTTACTCTGGAAAAAGAACTTTAAAAAAAACTTATCACATAGAGCAAAAATATAAGAAATGGTACTTTGTGAATCCCATGAGAATATGTGGAACCGGTAGGCAGATTGATTAACTGTTGGTTGCTCTTTATTATTTTAAACTGAAGGGGAAAGTGTAATGTAGTTCAGAGTACACATTCTGGAGTCAACCCACATTCAAGGTCCATTCCACTACTAAATAGCTATATGATTATAAGCAAGTTACTTACTCTTTACTTCCCAGTTTGTGAAATGAGAAAATAATGACATAATTCCTACAAATAGTATTTACTAAAGTATCTGGAACTCCATAAGCATATTAGCTATCAGGATGATGAAAACTTATCTGTTCACTATAACTACAGAAACAAAAAGTAAAACCACAATCATTTTAATTATAACTGACGTACTAATCAAACTCTCTTATACACTAAGACTATAGAGCTTTCTTTCATTAAAAACAAGGGAGTTTGAGTTTAATCAACTGCTTTTGTGGAGAAATATTTTTTAAATAGTTTCACATTCTTACCCTTTCCCTTTCCTTTCCAGTTGGCAGAAAAGTAAGGCAAAGAGTTCACAGACAGAAACTTGATTTCCAGCCAGTAGATTTAGATGCAGTCCTGCTAGCCAACTCCTTCAGGGAATGGAGCAGGGAAAACACTTCAGTAAAATAAAGAATACAGAAAAAGTATATACAAGAGTATCTGAGAGGCTACAGGTAACTCAGATCTATTTTCCTATTTAGATATTACTTTTAAAAAGCAACTAAAATGAAATCAGTAATTCATGCATTTTTTATTGTTAGCCATCTCTACAAATATACATATTTTTAATACTTCACTTAAACTGTTCTCTTTAAAGGACTTTAGACTGTTTTCAATTCACTAGGTGCAGAGTAAATATTAGTTTATTACTCATGATGCCGGGATACGTGGACAGCCATCTGGCAAAACAAAAATATAGCTAGATTCCTACTTTTTTCCTTGTATCAAAATAATTCTAGGTAGATCAAAGATTCTAATCTTTAAAACATTAATCACAAATTACAATAAGAATCTTGGGTAGAAATGGAGCTTTAAAAATTCAGAAGCAATCAAATAAATAACATTTGATAATAGAAAAAAAACTCAGAAGTAAAAGAAAATGGTATTAATTATATCAAAAGACAAACAAGCAAATAAGAACAAAGGTCCTTATTTAATACATGAAGCTATTCTATGAATCAATAAGATGATTAAAAATCCAAATAGAAATGAACAAATGGCAAAAACAGGCCTTTAACTAGAAAATATTTTCATTTGTAATGCAAAAAAATATTAACCTCACTTGTAACTAAATAAATGCATCTGATAAGACTAGTGAGAAACTGTTTCTCACTAGTTTAGCAGATTTACATATTGTAATATTTAATATGAGAAATTTGGCAGATTTACATATCATAATATTTAATATGAGAAAAAGCACCATCATGTAATATTGAAGTAAAATTGCTACAAACTATTTGGAGACCAGTTTGGTACCTTCATCAACATTGAAAAGTTCACGTTCTGCTTCATCCAGTGATTTTGCAAGTTGAACTTGTTCTATGAGGATATATTCTTATTTATGTACAGAGAGGAATATATAAGGACATATTACCCCATTAGAATTTGGCAACCGAAATCATGTAAGTTTTTAACTGCATCCAGTCTCCCATACTGCCAGGCAAGTTGAAAGAGTTAAAATAAATAAATAAATAAATAAAACCACTGAATGAAGGAATAGACAAATAAGGCAGTAGTAGCTGTAGTGAAGTGCCGTAGAGTCGGTTCGGACCCATAGCTGCCTTGTATAGGGTTATAGGGTTTCCAAGGAGCAACTGGTGAGCTTCAATTAACAACCCCCATTTGTTCAGGACTGGTTAAATAAATAATATATATACCCACACAATAGAATAATGCACAACTCACAGAAAGAATAAGACTGAGAAACAAATCAAGCTTTTATTCATACACTATCATAAATATAAGGAGCTCTGGTAGCGTAATGGTTACGAATCGGGCTGCGAGCCGCAAGGTCAGCAGTTCGAAAATACCAGCTGTTCTGAGGGAGAAAGATGAGGCTTTCTGCTCCCGCAAAGATTTACAGCCTCCGAAACCCTGTACAGGGTCGCTGAGTCGCACATAACAACAACATCATAGATATGTTTGATAGTGATCCCTTATGTAAAACGAGCATGTAAAAAAGGGAAGTGTAAAAACATGCATAATCTTGTGTGAGTGTAGATTATATCAATTAAGAAATTGTTAACCACAACTACCTGTGAGTAGACAACTGACAAGCTGAGCTTTTGGGATGGAGAAAATCACTTTTCTATGTTACATTAGCTGGGTTATTTTTATTGCCTATAGTCATTACTTTTTCTATTAAACATGAGTTAACAACAACAGATCTCATACTAAACTCATACATAATCCCTTCCCTGTCTTCCTGTGGGACATTTGAGCAAGCCACTTGAAGAACGGGCTAAATTAGGTCCAACTGCTGCAGTTCTTGTATGTTATTCTGTATCAGGCACTGTGCTAGGCACACCTTGTCCTAACCTTTCAACAGGTTAATGTTCAATCCTTACACCAGTCAGTGAAGCAGCATTTTTACCTTTCTTCCACAGCTGAGGACTCTGAACCCCAAGTGACCCAATAATAAATGCAAAATTCAAGGTCAAGCTCCCCTTCCCCATTGCTGTCTTCCTACCTCTCTCTTTTCTCAAACAGTGTAACTTCTAGCCAAACACAAAAGAACAGCCCTAAACTCCTTCCACAGATTCAAAATGTACTGATCTGCTTTACTGTCTCCACACCAAAGTATTATCATCATCAATATTACTATTTTGCTACGATAGGGTTTCAAACTTTCAAGTTTGCCAGTAATTTCATTCCTCTCTCCACACTGCTAAGATGCAAGAGTTGTGAGCGTAGTACTTAGTACTTCGTTGTTGCCTTTGTTTTAAATAAGATAAGATATGCACTCTACAGCTCACTACAAAGTTGGCAGTTCAAACTCACCTGTCACTCCTTGGGTTTACTCCCGTAAAGATTTATAGTTTCGGAAACCCTGTATATGTCGCTGTGAGTTGAAATCCACTCCATGGCAGTGGGTGTTTCTTGTTTGTTTGTTTACAATGATAGACCTTCTAAGGAGAGAAAAGACCTTTCCTCCAAACTTGATAGGCTAGAGGGACTCAGATAATTCGGATAGGGCGGGAATTCCCGCACTGGCGGTCAAACGGGCTATCCTACTAAAGACTGCACTTTCTTGGTTTCGAGTTTCCATGACCCGGAGAAACTGGAAAGACCAGCGCAGACGACTGGAGGGAACTCCTGCAGTCACAACTCACGGCCCAAGTGTGGCGAGGCTGCGCGCCTCAGTGACAGACACACCTACCCGCCAGGCCAGGTCCAGGTCGAAGTCCCGAGCGCGGAGAAACCGCAGCAGGAAGGAGTCGGAGAGCGGAAGGTGTGCGAGTGAAATGCCGGCCTCCAGGGCCCGGTGCCGCAGTTCAGCCAGGCCTGGCTGCAGCAGCGGCGAGTGGTCTGGCAGGGCGTTGAGCCGCTGGCCCGCGGTGAGTCCCGGCCGCTCTTCTGCCATGCCTGTAGTTGCGGCCACCGTTGCTGCGCGCGGATTAAAAGAGCGCACCCCTAGTCACCTAGCCGACTCCTCCTTCGGTGGCTGCGGTCCAGCGCATATTCAGCCCCTTGCCAGACTGCTAGCCCGCCAGCTCCTCGAGGTCGCTGCCGCCTCCGACCTAGGGCCGCTAGGAAGCCCGCTGGCCCGGCGGTTCTAGACCTCAAGCGGGCGCAGCACCGTAGAGTCGGGAAGTGACCCAACCCCATGCCCCCCGCGCGCCGCTGCACAAGTGGTTAGGGGACCAGCTACCTCCCTAAAGGTAACCTTTCTGGTGCTAGTCACATCTGAAGCTTTAAGTAACCCAAGTCGTTCCCCGGTGAAGGAAAAGGTGTTCGACGCCAAGAGGAAGACAAAAAGTTAGTTTGCCAACCTCACAGTCAGGTGGGATTTTTTTTTTTTTTTTAACAATAATCTGGTATTCCTTCCTTCTGCCTTCCTTCCTTCCATCTACCCTGAATTTTAGAGATAGAAGGAGCCTCAACAAAACCATTTGGTGGCACGATGACAGATGTGCTTTCTTTAAGGATTCAAGCAGATTTATGTCTTAGTTATGTAATGATTTCGAACACATACACACGTCCCATAATACCACCTTAACACACTCATTATTCGGACCCTTCTTCCTAATTCAGATAAATTTCTCAGTTTTTGTTACCTTGTTGTTGTTGTTAAATGCCGTCGAGTCGGGTCCGACCCATAGCGACCCTGTACAGGGTTTCCGAGGGTGTAAATCTTTATGGGAGTAGAAAGCCTCATCTTTCTCCCGCGGAGCAGCTGGTAGTTTCGAACCGCTGACCTTAGGTTCGCAGCCCGATTCGTAACCACTACGCTACCAGAGCTCCTTACCTCTACAAATATGTGACTGGCAAATGCCTGTGTTTTTTTTTTTTTAATGCCACAAACTCCAGTTACACTTTACCACCACTGAATTTTAAGCATGTCTAATCTCGATGCTGGTGAGTTGGTTTCGACTCATAGTGACCCTGTACACGGTTTTTGTAGAGCAACTGGTGGATTTGAACCGCTGATCTTGCAGTTAGCAGTCCAGTGCTTAGAGCAAGGTCGATGGTTCAAGCACACCAGTTGTGCCTTGGAAATCCTGCACAGGGTCGCTATGAGTCAAAACCAACTGAAACCATTTAGCAACAACAACGATAATCTCTCCGTGAGGCAGGGCGATTGCTCTGAAGGATAAACAGTGGACTGTAAACTACAAGGTTGGAGGCTTAAAGTCATCAGCAGCTTCTTAAACTTTATGTTGTTGTTAAGTGCTGTCTAGTCACCTCTAACTCATAGCGACCCTATATAGGGTTTCTGAGCAACAGATGGTGAGTATGAACCACTGACCTTGTTCAAACCAACCCTTCCGTCCAGTGCTTATCCTACAGCGCCACACCAGGACTCCACTGATCAGAACTGATACACTTGATTTTAGCTATATGCAGGGTAGCTGTAAATTAGACTCCATGGCATTTCACAGAATCTCTCCATGGACAGTCTGAAGCTTTTTTCTAAGTAAGTGATCCTGGGTAATGAAGATGATGGAGGGAAATAATGTGGAATACTGAAAGCTTGCTAAATTTTTTTTTTGTTGATCTTTACCATTGAATCCACCACTTGTTGTCAGTTGGTTGTACTAGGGTAGCACTCATGTTGCTGTGATGTTGGAAGCCAGTGGTATTTCAAATACCAGCAGTTAGAAAGTCTCAGCAGAGCTTCCATGAGGAAGAAAGGTCTGATTATCTACTTTTGAACATTAGTCATTGAAAACCTTAGGGGTCACAACAGAACACTGTCTGACTCATTTTCTTTGTACATATCATCAAGAGGGATCAACTGCTAAAAGACAGCATCATATTTGGTAGAGGTCGAGTGAGAGGGAGAGAGACCCTGGTGAATTGGGGGGTACAACAGCACAGGGATGAACTCACAAAGATGAAGCTGTCAGTTGGAAGGCTGACAGAGGACCAGGCAGCATTTTGTCCTATTGTATATAAGGTCACCATGAGCTGGAATCAAATTTATGGCAGCATGGTGTGGCACTGTAGAATAAGCACTGAACTGCAAGGTTGGTGTGAACAGCAAGGTCAGCAGTTCAAACTCATGAGCTGCTCCTCAGAAACCCTGTACGGGGTCGCTATGAGTCAGAACTGATTGGACAGCACTTAACAATGTTATTGTTGTTGTTAGGTGCCATCGAGTTGGTACCAACTCATAGCGTCCTTATGCACAGCAGAACAAAACACTGCCCGATCCTGGGCCAACCTCACTACTGTTGCCACATTTGAGTTCATCAATGCTGCCACTTGACCAATCCATCTCATTGGGGGTCTCCCTCTTTTTATTTGACCTTCCACCTTACCAAACATGATATCCTTCTCCAGCAAATGGTCCCTCCTGACAATATGTCCAAAGTATGAGAGACAAAATTTGGCCATCTTGGCCTGCAAGGAGCATTCTGGCTGCACTTCTTCCAAAACGGATCTATTCATTCTTTTGGAAGTCCATGGAACTTTCAATATTCTCCAACACCATAACTCAAAAGCATCAATTCTTCTATGGTATTCTTTATTCACTGTCCAGTTTTCACATGCATATGAGGTTATTGAAAATACCGTGGTTTGAGTCAGGTGCACCTTAGTCCTCAAGCTGACATCTTTGCTCTTCAACACTTTAAAAAGGTCTTGTGCAGCAGATTGCCTAATGCAATACGTCATTTGATTTCCTGACTGCTGCTTCCATGAGTGTTTTGATAGTTGATCCAAGAAGAATGAAGTCCTTGACAACTTCAATCTCCATTGATAAGAATGTTATTTATTGGTCCAGTGGTGAGGATTTTTGTTTTCTTTACACTGAGATGTAATTTATCAACCTATTGAAACTATCCTAGCCTGATGTGGCTCTGTGAATTAATGCTCTGGACTACAAAGTTAGTTAAAACCACAAGGTCAGTGGTTCAAGCTCACCAGCTGCTCCTTAGAAACCCTATACAGAGCTCTGGTAGTGTAGTGGTTACAAATCAGGCTGCGAGCCACAAGGTCAGCAGTTCGAAACTACCAGCTATTCCACAGGAGAAAGATGAGGCTTTCTGCTTCCATAAAGATTTACAGCCTCAGAAACTCTGTACAGGGTTGCTATAAGTTGGAACCGACTCCATGGCACATAACCACCACCACCATGGGTCAGGCCGACTCGATGATACTTAACTACAACAACTGAATTGTCCTGGTGTGGCACTGTGGGTTAATGCGCTGGACTGCAAAGTTAGTTTGAACCACAAAGTTGGCTGTTCAAGCTCATCAGTCGCTCCTTGGAAACCCTATACAGGATTGCTATAGTTTGGAACAAGACTTAATGGCACTGAACAACAACAGAATTGACCTGTCTACCCAAAAGGAAATGAATGAAACCAGTTCTTATTGAAAGTATACTATGTGCTCAGTAGATGCTGGGGTTGGTAAACTGAATCAAGCCAAATACTTGGCTCTAATACACTTAGTGTGTAGTGAGGGAGACTACCAGTTCATCTATGAAATAAATATGTATTGAGTGACTCCTGGGTCTAGACCCTATTTTAAGTACTGGGGTTACTCACATGAACAAAATCGAGATTTGATCTTGCCTTCAAGAGATTTGATTATGGTGTGGGCTAGTAGACAAGAAACTAGATAAATAAGTAAATAAATGTGTGTGACATGACAACATTGCTTGGGAAATCATAAAGCAATTAAGAGAGATAGTGACTCCAGCGTTGTTTGAATACCCAGCTGAATGACATGAGGGAGCTAGCCAAGGGGATGCCTGAGGCTGGGGCGGGAGCAGGGTGTTGGTGATGATAGTAGATTTGACTTCTTTTCTCTGAGAGCCTTGAAGCCACTAGAATAAATTATCAGAATTTAATGAGAAAGCTACTATAAATGAGAGAAGTGATTCTAAGCTTTGGTTTTTATTCAAAATGAGATGGTAAACTATTGAAGTAAAGATTTGTAATTCCGCATGAAATCTCCTAGGAAAGGGATATGGAGAAAGTGGGGACAGACCACAGAGGAAGGCTAAGTAACTCCATCCAGGAGATCTGGGATGCCTTCATGAAAGTTCACATTTGCTTAGTCTTAGCAGATGCATTGGGGAGAATAGTCAAGTGAAGAAGAGAGGAAGAAATCAGGACAAAAGTGTACAAGTCAAAAGAGACCATTTATGTGTTACACCTCACTGGGAGCTCTGAATAATTAAAGGTATAAGAAAGGCCAATCTTCCCTAGCAGTTCCAGTGCTTAGAAGTGAATTAATAAGAGAGATTGTACATAGAATGTTTTCTTTCAACATTTTTTTTCCAATATACTTTTTTATACATCCTTACCGTTGTTAATTGTCACGAAGTCTGTTCTGACTCATAGAGACCTTGTATAGGGTTTCCAAGGAGTGAATGGTGGGTTTGAACTGTTGATCTTGTGGTTAGCAGTCTAGTGCTTATCCTACAGCACCACACCAGGACTCCTTTGTTGTTGTTGTTCAATGCTGTCAGAGTTGCTTCCAACTCATAGTGACCCTATTTAGGGTTTTTGAGGAGCGGCTAGTGAGTTTAAACGGCTGATCTTGGGGTTCAAACTGACCTTGCAGTCCAGTGCTTATTCTACAGTGCCACACCAGTACTCCAAATTGCTAATTACTTTATTATAATTAGTCATAAAGTTCAGTAAGAAATCATAGACATTATTTAGTATAGCTATGGTATCATTCTTATAAGTGGGCTGTGTGTAAATGTAGCATTCAAATGGTAGTTTCTACATTTGTTATAAGATAAATGCAAAAGAATATTGATTGATTGCAAGCAAAGTAAGTGAAAAAAGCACCAACTCAGAGTCCAGACAGGCATGATAGATTGGTCCTAAATACTCAAAACGGGGCATTGGTAGCAGTGGATAGCATGTAAAGCGATGTGTGATTTCTATACTTAGGTCA